GCACAGACCTGCCTGTCTGCAGCGGGCTGATTCGGCGTGTGTTCCACGCAACTGGGGACCTCGGCAGGGTGTGGGCAGACCTGCCTGTCTCCCACCATAGAATGTTAATGACCCTCTTTGTCACTACCGGGACGTCTTCCCAGTATATACCTCCCCTAGGAGGTTTCTACCAGTGCAGAACTTATTCTCTCCTTCCATACCATTCCTTTGTTATTCCACCTAATTTCACTTCCAAGAGCACATCATTATTACTTTAGCTGGGTCATTGCCTAAGACTCAGACACTGTGGACATTGTTAAGAGTCATTCACACTCTATCGTATCCTTGTGCTCTTAAAGCACACATTCCCACGCATTTCTGTATCCACAAATCCACATAGGAGAGAAGAGCCTCATGGGAGGAAAAGAGTTAAACTCTTACTCTCTTGCCTCCTACATACTGATGTTTAAAAATTAAAAATGTTTTTCTCTAATAGGTCAAGATAATAGCAATAGAAGGAGGAAAATACAAGTGACCATCAGAAGGAAACTCACTATAAGGGAAATAGAGTATAGCTTTGTAAACCAGACATAATTATAGGTTAAATGGACTAATTCTAGACCCAGAATATAATAAATCCTGACCTTTACAGACTCAGCCAAGCTGGTGCCAGAAGTAGATTTTCAGGAAAAATAGTTACATATGGATATCAAGACCTGTGCTCCTGGAGAGTTGTACCCTGTGGAGCCCAGGTAGTTTTTCTCTAGAACTATGCCATCCTAAAAAGTAGGTACTGTACTAGCCACATGTGGCTACTGAGTGCTTAAAATGTGATCAGTCCAACTTGCAAGTGTAAAATATACAATGGATTTCAAAAACTTCATATGAGCAAAATCACACCAATTATTTCATTAACAATTTTATATAGATTACATGTTGAAATAGTATGTTGGATATACTATACTGGGTTAAATAACATCATTGAAATTGATTTCATATACATATATATATGTCTACTAGAAATTTGAATACTAGATACATGGCTCACACTATATTTTTATAGGATGTGCCATTCTAGAACATTTCTAAGAAAGAGGGCATCATAAAACCAAATATGCCTCATCAAATCTGTAGAAGCATTCTTTGCTATGCAATAACAAGCAAGTCTTGTCCCTAGGGTGGAGAAAACTTCAGCAGACCCTCCTCTGGAGAACAGCCAGTGCTCAGGACCAGCTCCCATCCACAAATGTCATCCTCCAATACCATATGGTGCTGGACATTCCAGGCAGTAGATAGGGCTCCCTGGAAATCCTTAGTCAAAATTGCCCAAAGGAATGCAACATGTCACTGCTCTCCTTCTTCAGGAAGTAGATCGAACATGAGCATCAAGGACCAATGACTCACAAACCTGAAGATCCTGAACAATACCAGGAAACTTCAAAAATGCCCAAACTCCAAGTAGCAGACTGAATTGAGTCCCACACCATATTAACTTGAGTGTTAAAAGTCACACATTTGGAGGCTGGGGATTTAGCTCAGTGGTTCTGCTGCCTGCCTCCCAAGTGCAAGGACCTGAGTTTGATCCCCAGTACCAAAAAAAAAAAGTTAAAAATTTATAGTCTTAGATTATTAAAACCTCCCAATCTTGGTTATATTTATTTTCCCTTCTATTACATATTCATCTCACATAATAATTATAATACTAACTATTGAATGATTCTGAAAAACATTTCATGTATATATTGATTCATCACTAAACCCCTAACACCTGGGTATTACTATCCAAGACTTAACACACAGCAAAACTGAGGCTTACTTAAGTCTTGCCGAATTCTAATGAATCTAGAAAAACTGTCAGAAACTTGAATTCAAATCCAGATCTATCTCATTCCAAATCTGCCTAGATTTCAAAAAACAAAGAATTCTAACCAACAAAACAAATATATGTTACAGTGTCTATTGGTTAAATATATACTTAAACTTACAAATGTATATTCATTCACAAAGATTATATGATGCTAAAATAGACATCATAGATGGAAAGCTATAAATACATTGCCAGTTTTAATGCTGTTCATTCTGACCCTTAGCTTACTCTTCTATAATAATGATACAGATACTGAAGGACAACATGAAAACAACTTCTTTAGGTTCTGCCTACCCAATTTTGCCTCTTCACTAGATTCCATGACCTTGGATACAGGGTCTTATGAAGCTAAAATAGATTTGCATTTATCCAAAAGTTTTATAGTACATAGCTCTGTATTGCACAGTGTAGTCTTTATTGTAAAGGCAACAGAGATCACTTTTAAACCAAGCATGAGATAATCAGATTTGCATTTTAGAAGGATCACTATGGGGCACTCTCACACTCTGGTGGGAGTGTAAATTGATACAACCCTTCTGGAAAGCAATTTGGCAAAATATATTAAGAGCTGTAAAATGTTTGACACAGTGATATCACTTTTGTGACTACTCTAAGGAAATAATCCTAAAACCAGAGAAAGCTTTATGAACAAAGCATTCATTGTAGCCTTATTAATAATGGCAGAAAAATAGCAATGACTGCATTACTCAACAATAGAAGAATGGTTATGCAAGCTTCGGTACATTTACCAGGTAACACAATAACAGCCATCTAAATTATATTCATGACAAGTTATTAGTAACATCAAAAAATGATGATTTACTAATGTTAAGATTAGCAACACATTTGTGGTTGATTATAACGATGGCCACAAATAATTCTCCTTCTATAGCCATACTCTTGCAATATGATATATGACTTCCTTTAAGAGGTAGTATGTATTCCTCCACCTCTCAATGTAGCCTGACCCTGTAACTTGCTTTGACCAACGAAATGCTAGTAAATGATTTGCAAGCAGGAGTTTGAAAAATACTCTCTTGCTGTGCTGGAAGCTTTCCATCACCAGGTGAAGAAGCCCTGACCTAGCTTGCTGGATGATGACAGATACGACCCACTCTGTCCTGTCAACTGAGATGTTGGCCAATCCCCAAAAGAGAGTCACCTAGATAAGTGGCACAAACACAGATGCATGAAGGAAGTCAGCTGAGATGAACAAAAGAACCACACCACTGAGCCCAGCCCAAATCACTGCTTCAGAGATGAGGTACCATATAAATAGTTGTGATTTTAGGACACTAAATTTTGAGGGCATTTGTTACACATCAAAAGCTCACTTACTACAATTTTTATAATTTCGGAGACAAGGTAATGATATATGATGGGAGGGGGGAATCACAATATTATTCTTGTTTTTGTGTATGTTTCAAAATTTCCAATATATATGGCTAAAGGAAAAATAAATTTTCAGTAAAATATCTGGATATAAGAATACACATGCATGTAGTTTGATCATTACTACAATATTTTCCATAAAAATATATTAGTGAAAGATATACCATTGTTTGCCTCTGGATACTGAAAATATGAATATTTGACTAATTTGCATTTTAAGGCTTACTTATTTTATTCTGAAAATGTATTTTTATAATTTTATTTATTTTTATTTCAAAACTTCCCCCACTCTAATAAAATGTCTTTCTATAGAATATATAAAGAACTGACTTGGAGAGGAAGGAAACTAAAGACAAAGAAACAAATTCAGAGGAAATTAAAATAGCCTAGAAGAAAGTACGATGGCCCAAAACCAAGGCAATGTCTGTAGAGAAAGAAAAGAGGGGAGAGACTAGGGGTGGTGGGCCAATATGGAGATACTGAGCTATTGAGGGAAAATCCACAGTTATCAATACTGGGTATTGAAAGACACTTAATCTGGGACAATGGATGAGTTTCATGAGGACCCAAACCCCACCCTGAAAATGGACTCAAAGTGAGGTCTAAGTGTGTAAACCATCTCGCGATAGAAAATACACGGGTTTCATCATATTCTCAAATGAAAGATGAGATCTCAAAAGCCAAATATCCATGAAAGTTTGTCTGCCCAAGACAGAAAAGAATTTCAGTTTGGTCTAACAACCCTATTTAGATCTGACTATTTTTAGGGCATTGAAGAAGCCACTTAAATGATCAGTCTGGGATCTGGGTCCCTAAAGTCTGATCTGAGTACATGATGGTCCCAGTGACATCAGTCCTTCTGGGCCACAACTTAGAAGCTGGTTCCTACAGGTTTCCACCCTAAAGGAAGCCAAACCCTTGTTAACCATCACTTCAGAGTGTCAGATTCATGGGTATAACCAGAACCTCAAACTCCAGAAAACAAATAGTTGTCTTAGCCTGTTTTCTGTTGCTACAACCAAGTATCTGAAACCAGATAAATTATAAAGTGTCTTAGTTACTTTTTCTCATTGCTGAGACAAAATACCCAACACCCAAAGTTAAAGGAGGAAAGATTTATTTGGCTCACAGTTTGTAGAGGTTTCAGTCCATTGTCAGCTGGCTCCAAGGCAGGATAGCACGGCGGAGGGACACTGAAGAGGAGAAATAGTCCATATCAAGCAGGCAGGCAAGAACAGCAAGCAGCAAGTCCAAATGACCTTAGCAGCTTCTTTCTGCCTCTTTTATATTCTATCTAGGCTACCAGGTTTAGGGTGGGTGCAAAACCAGTGGACTGATTTAGTAATCACACACCCTTAATCTCAGCATCACACACTCAGATCCAACCACATCTGAAAAAGCCCCACCTATGACTGCATGAGGCTTTGGGGAGACATCTAGACACAAGCTATAACATAAAGAATGGACATTTGTTTGGTTCACAGTTCTGGAAGCTAAGAACTCCAAGACTATGGTGTTGGCCTCTGCCGAGCATCGGGTGAGTTCCTTCATATTGCATTATAACATGTGGAAGGGTATCATTAGAAAGCCACTCTCATGGTAACCCATTAGCCCATTAATCTATTAATCCATTAATAGATTTATCCATTCATGAGGGTAGAGCCCTTATAACCCATATACCTTCCAACGGTTCCATCTTTCAACACAGCTATGTTAAGAACCAGGTTTCCAACATGTGAAAATTGAGGGACACATTCAAGCCATAGCATAGTTTTTCTACATCTTAGGCTCAAAGACAGGATCCATGATGATCTGCTCCCTGTCCCCCTCTCTGAATTCATTTTCTCCATGTTTTTCCTTGTTCCTCTTTACCTTGGCCTATTTTAAGTTCCCCGAAATGTGTATTTTTCCCACCATCTGGCTTTATATGTACTGTTCCCCCTACCTGAGACTCCAGTCTACTCCCCCTCCAACTAGTAAACTTCAGATCTGAACTTCAATCACTACTTCCCAGGCCAAGAATATCCTCCTGATATATTTACTCAGAACACTTCGCTCAATTGAAATATTTTAATTTTTATGTGATTAATAACAAATATTATTTGGATACTTACAAGGTGCCAGGCACCATACAAGTCCCTTGACATGTATTAATTAATTTCATTAGCACATCCTATGAGGAAAACGAGCCACAAAATGCAAACTACTGGAATGCAGCTCTGTAGCAAGTAAAAGACAATGCTGGGATATAATCAATTCCATCAGCCTAAAGCTGGGACTGCACTGGCCTGATGGCTCATGTCTTTGTTTTCGTTTTGTGTAGCCATGTGCCCAGCACAAAGGTGTGATGCCGAATAGGAACTCCAGTCATGTTGACTAAATTTCCTTGACCTACCTCAACTTGAGCTGCTGAGATGCATAGTGCTATAGTGTAGATCTGACATCTGAAGCCCATGTGTAAAAGACTTGATCACCAGGCCATGGTGCTACTGGGAGGTGGTGGAATATTTAAGAGGTGAGGTCTAATGAAAGGTTTTAGATCAAGAGAGGTGTGCCCTCAAAGGGGGTTATGGAATAGTGGTATCTCCATCTCTGTCTCCTCTCTCTCTCTCTCTCTCCCCCACTCTCTCTCTCTCTCTCTCTCTCTCTCTGTCTCTCTCTGACTTCTTCCTGGCCTTAAGATGAGCAACATAGCAACTTTGCTGTACCACAGCTGCCACCATGATGAGCTGCCTCCCCACAGGCCCAGAAACAACAGTGCCAATTAACCAGGGACTAAACACTCTGAAACAGTGAACCAATATAAATCTTTTTTCTTTTTAAGTTGATTGAGCTCAGGTATTTTTCATAGCAACAGAGAGAAGATGAACACACACAGCATCCAACTTGGGAGGCAATCTTACAAATCACATTCACCGACTCCAAGAACAGGAGACCCTGAGGGGGGTTGTGCACTTCTCAAAGTCACACAAAACCAGCACTAAAAGTCAGATTTCCTAATACAACCTAGTATTATTCCCACCTCATTAAATGGGAACTCAAGTGTCCCCTACTATAAAAAATACTTGATATTTTTCAACCGCTAGAGGAATATTGCTTCCTTCTCTTGGCCTTGCTTTGCTGCAGAATCAGAAAGGAGGAAAGCAGGTAAGAAACAAAAGTATTTCTTGAGCGATTTGGATTTAGAGAAGAACACAAGGATTATAGAAAAATACTTTTAATGTAAATTACTCCTTTAAAATTTTCTTCAATTTCATGTTACTGATGAAAAAAAATTTTTTTAACTCAGAATAACCTTGCTTTAGCCAGTCTATACCTTTAACTCACAATTATTTTAATGTGATCCTCTTTGGTCAATCTCTTCTGTAGGCTCTATGGCAGCCTAGCTCACACTCTTCTTGATCTATGCAGAGCTGTGCTATAATGGGGCTCTCTGTGGGACTGCAGCGACACACTCCAGCCATCAGAAAGGCCCTCATCATGGCTGGGAGCTGCAACAAATGTAAACCCACACGGGCATTGTTCTCCAGGGATAAGGAAGGGACCACAGGTCTCTAGCACCAACTCATCTGTACTCAGTGATTCTTCAGAGAGAAATAACACCTCATTTAAGGGACACATTTACCAATAGCACAAAGGCACTACCTGGCATCTGAGTTCATACTTCAACTCCTCCACTTAGTAACCATGAAATTGTGAACAAAGACTTACTTTTTCTGTGCCTCAGTTTCCTCATGAGTAGTAATAGTTGTATATATAACTAAGACTCACATGAGAAATAAATAAGTAATATATCTCTGAAGCTAGCATGTAGAAAATGCTCAGTAAAAGTTAGCTATTTCTCCTGTGATGGAGCAATTCAACTGATTTCATGAAGCTGGGTGCTTTCACCATCATTTCACTTAACTCTTTTCATACCCTATTAAGAAGGCTTACTTATCTCTACAAATGAGGACACTGGACGCCAGAAACGTGATTTGCCCAAGATCATAGGAAGGCCCTGGTTGGCTGGTTTTGAGTTAGAATTTTCTCCATGAGAAATACAGCACCAGAGTGTCAACAGCATGATCACCTTTCACAAGCCTAGAAGCTGATGCAGGGAGGGTGTGGTGACATACCCGAGAGCTTTAGAGAATGCAGGTCAGAGGCTGAATTGGATCCTTCTTTACCTCAGAGAGCACTGCCCATTACAGGGCCAGAAGACCACCTCTAAAGCTCTGCAAGAAGGCTTTCTGTCCTTTACTATGGCATTGCTTTTTCCACTGACAATGACATGGAAGCTCAACCCTGGCTTATTTTAATGCTCTGGATTTTTTAAATGCCTTCTTCCTAAAAAGAGCTGTGGAAAAAGTTCATAATGTGCTCTCTGAAAGTCCTCTCTGGGCAACCAGAATAGATGCCTTTAAGGTAGATGTCACCAACAAAGGCCACTGTCTCCTAACAAAAGACAGCAAAAAGTATAACATCTTCTCAAAATAGTCAATAAATAAGTGAAACTTTTTTGTATGAATGGAAATAAATAAGTGAGATATTTTGAGAACACTGGTGAATGGGAATGGTTGTAGATGAACTCATCAAACTGAGGCAAAGAAGAATGTTTTTCTTGCAATTAACAAATCCGGGAGACTAGAAGGACAAGAAAGCTGCCTCATATATATGAATGACTAGCACATAGAAGGGCAAGGTGCACCTCAAATGTCACCAATACACAGAAGAATACTGATCAGGTCTACCAATGAGGGTACAGACTGGGCAAGAGGCATCCACACTCAGAACACAAGCACTGGAGCCTCGTAGGCTTAAGCCCTTTCTCTGCAACACAGAAAGCCTCAGCTTCCCCATCTGTAAAGTAGGGGTAACAATAATACATCTACTTCATAAGGCTGTTGTTGTGTGCATTAAATAAGACCATGAATCTCAAAGGTTTATCACCATGCCCAGAGCATGTAAATCCTCCATAGATGTCTTCTATTATCTTTGTTGTTGTGTGAAAGTGAGTTCATTGTCCTTAGAGGTATTCAACCAGCAACTGATGACCAATGAGCTACAAATCTGTGTTGGGAAAGAGATTAGACAAAGGGTGCATTAGACAAAGGGTTTGGGATTAGGTGACCTCTAAGTTTCCTTCCACACTTGGGTTTCAAGATTCAATGAAACTAGGGTTAATGTGAAATCCTCTCTCTGACTACCTTGCAGGCTTCCACTTTGGGGTTTTGTTTTCCACTTTTGTCCTTGCAAATCCTTGCTGTGGAGCTAAATCTGAAGAGTGAGTCTTCTTTTGCTTGGTGGCTGCATTCCTGGAATTCCCAAGATTCCAGCCCCTTTTCCTCCTCACATTATAAACATTGGGTTCTTTGGGGAGGACCAAAAGGTCACTTTACAAATAGCATTTGCTTCCAGACTCTCATCTAAATAATTCAACTCAACTTCAGTAAGAGCAGCAGGCTTTGGGCCAATCTCTAGCCTGTCTGAAAGGAACGGTACTGATTTCCTGCTAACAAGAAGACATTGTTCAAGTTGGAGAATGGCATCCTCAATGCTGAGTGAGAAGAGCTAGGTATGGGAGCAGCAGAACAGTGACAGCAGGGTCTTTCCAAATTCCCTTCATAAGAGGACTAAGATCTTGAAGAGGAGGAGGCATTTATTGGGGGCTGCTGAAAATTCAGCCTTACTGCCACTGTCTTTATAACCACAATATAAAGTAACTCCCACAACACAGAGAAGATAAGCTCTTTAAAGAAAATATAAAAGCATTAGCTTGGCAATTCACCCAAACCTCATCATGCACCATAGACATTTTTGAAGTTTAACAAAGAAAAGCACATCATTAAAGAATACTGCTCTATCACCATTCTTATGCAAATCCTTCCAGATAGTTGGGTGGAAAATTCCATCTAACATGCAGCAAGAAATAAATGTTTCAGGGTGGAAATTTCAGCTATACTGAGTGCATCTATCATTTGTATAATCCAAACTACTGTATGTGCGCTGACTACAGAATTAGTATTGATCCATTCACCATGTAAACATCAAGTACTTTCTATTATTACTTGAAATAGCATGCTATCACAATTTCTATTTCCTCCTTCTATCTTAAATAGAAGTATTGCACATTAGCCCTTTCCTTCATGTACTTTTTTGCACAGCTATCTAACTACAGTGTTCAGTGTGGTACTCAGTTTCCTGCAGACAT